ACGGCCAGGTCGGCCTTCTGGGGGGGGGGACACCATGAGGGGGGTGTCAGACCCATCTCCACGCCAAAACCACCCCATGGGGTGACCCAAACCCTATGGGGCCACCGGGACCCCCACGATGGTGGTATCACCCACAGGGTGTCCCCAAGTGTCCCTCTATGGTACAACCAGGTCCCCCACCACCCATGGGTGCCTCAAGCCCCATGGAGCTCCCCATAGGGTGGTCCTGAGCCCCATGGGGTCCCCCACAAGTGTCCTCAAGCCCCAAGGTGCCCCCAAGACCTTCTAGATCCTCAAGTGTCCTCAAGCCCCATGACCTTCTAGATCACCAGGCGCCCTCAAGCCCCAAGACCTTCTAGATCCTCAAGTGTCCTCAAGCCCCACGACCTTCTAGATCACCAGGCGCCCTCAAGCCCCAAGACCTTCTAGATCCTCAAGTGTCCTCAAGCCCCATGACCTTCTAGATCACCAGGTGCCCTCAAGCCCCAAGACCTTCTAGATCCTCAAGTGTCCTCAAGCCCCTCAAGATCTTCAACTGCCCTTAAGCCCCAACACCTTCTAGATCGTGGTGCCCCCCAAGACCTCCGAGAACATGGGGCCCCCTTGAATCCCATAAGACCTGCCCCCATAGCGCCCCGCCCCCAAAGCCTACCCAGTTGATGAGACCTTCAAGATCATCAGGTGCCCTCAAGCCCCAAGACCTTCAAGATCCTTAAGTGCCCTCAAGCCCCAAGACCTTCAACTTCCTCAAGTGTCCTCAAGCCCCAAGACCTTCAAGATCCTCAGGTGTCCTCAAGCCCCAAGACCTTCTAGATCATGGTGACCCCCAAGAACATGGGACCCCCTTGAAGCCCATAAGACCCGCCCCCATAACGCCCCGCCCCCAAGGCCTACCCGGTTGATGAGACCTTCTAGATCATCAGGTGCCCTCAAGCCCCAAGACCTTCTAGATCATCAGGTGCCCTCAAGTCCCTCAAGATCCTCAAGTGCCCTCAAGCCCCAAGACCTTCTAGATCCTCAAGTGTCCTCAAGCCCCAAGACCTTCAAGTTCCTCAAGTGTCCTCAAGCCCCAAGACCTTCTAGATCATGGTGACCCCCAAGAACACGGGACCCCCTTGAAGCCCACAAGACCCGCCCCCATAACGCCCCGCCCCCAAGGCCTACCCGGTTGATGAGCTCGCCCACCATGCCGGTCCAGGAGCCGTTGGGCTCGGGCGCCCCGTAGAGCCCGTCCTCCACCAGCTTGATGTGGAAGCGGAACTTGAGGAGCCCGGCCAGCTCCTGCAGCATGTCCACGCAGAAGCCCTCGTAGCGCTCGGCGCCGCCCGCGCCCCCCACCCGCATCACGTAGGGGTTCTCCTGCGGTGGCCATGGGGAGGGGGGGTCATGGGTGGTGGCCACCCCCATGCGAGAGCCCCGTCCCGCGTGGTGGGTTCACCCGTAGGGTAGAAGGGAGCGGGTGGTGGGACCTCCAAGGGTTGTGTGGAGGGGACACCCAAGGGCGCTGTGGATGGAGGGCCCATGGAGGGGACATTGGGACATCCGAGGGAACCATGAGTGGAGGCTCCATGGAAGGGACATTAGGGCACCATGGATTGAGGCTCCATGGAGGGAACATTGGGACATCCGAGGGAACCATGGATGGAGGCTCCATGGAGGGGACATTGGGACACCCAAGGGAACCATGGATGGAGACTCCAATAGAGGGGACATTGGGACACCCAAGGGCACCATGGGTGGAGGCTCCATGGAAGGGACATTAGGGCACCATGGGTGGAGGCTCCATGGAGGGAACATTGGGATACCCAAGAGAACCATGGATGGAGGCTCCATGGAAGGGACATTGGGACCGCCAAGAACTACATGAAGGGAGACTCCGTAAAGGGGACATCGGGACACCCAAGGGGTCCATGGATGGAGCTGGGGACCCCCAAGGGCACCAAGGATGGAGCATCCCATGGAGGGGACCCCCAAGAGCACCAAGGCTGAAGACTCCATGGAGGGGAACCCAGGACCCTCCAAGTGACCCCAAATGGGGACCCTTCTCCAGGGTCTCCCCCTTGGAGACCACAGCAGGTCATGATGGGACCCCTTCATGCCATGGAGACCCCCAGGAGGGGATGGAGACCCCCCAGGAGGGCCCAGCCCCATGGAGACCCCCCCGGCACCCCCCGAGCTCACCAGGATGGTGGTGATGATGAGGGTCTTGTTGGCCAAGCTGTCAGACGCGTTCATGGCCAACGTGGTGGTGTTCATGGCCAGCGTCCGGTTGGAGTACCACACGCCCACCTAGGGGACACACGCCGCGATGGCGGGGGACACTTTTTGGGGGTGGCCGCGGGGTCCCATGGGGGTTGTCTCACCTGGCGGTGGCCGTGCCGCCCCTTCTCCAGGACGTGCAGGGGGTAGTTGGGGCGTTGGCCCTTGG